CAAGACAATCGAAAAGGCCGTATGAAGCTCAGATCACTTCTGCTTTCTTCGCAAAACACTAACGATTCGCGTGAGTGGCTTCAAACTACTTATGTAAATCAGCTAGTAGTATCTTGAGTGATGCCGTAATTTATTGTGTAGATGATGTTGGCTTTGGTGAAAACAAGTCAAGTAGCTGAGAAAAGAGGCAAATTTTCAGCGAATTCACATTCTCACTTTAGCTGTACAATCACATTTATATACAGTTATTTCATGAATGACAGTCGTGAGAAAATGATCGGTGGTCACAAGCGTCGTTGTTAGTATCAGCCACCAATATATGATAAATCAAAATCAAAATTTTGCTACTACCCAATTCTAGGGTGTAAAATTTCAGTCTAACAGTCTCACTCGGAAAGTAAACATCATTGGTAATTTCTTATCGGATGCGTGAATTAAATAATAAAATATTATCATCATTCGTAACAAAAACTAATTGGCTCTGCACTTTGTAAAATAGTTCATGCAATGTATATTTGTCAAAAGGTGGCGGGGTTGTAGAGATAATGGGATTAGTAGTCAGTTGAAACATTCTGACGATATGACATTGCTAAATTCAATGTGCCAACCGAAATGATACCGGAAAACAGTTCAAAGTTAGAATAATAATTATAACACTCGACGTAATAACAGTAATAATAATAATAATGAGGGAAGCACGTACAAATTGAATAAATAAAAGGAAAAATAATTACAACCAGCGTATGAATACGGATTATCTTACGTTAACATAGACTGACTAAGGCCATGAGAGTTTGGAAAGTTTGTTCAAACTCTCCAACGCCTATTGTCATCATCCGTCTATGCTAAAGTATGATAATCCTCACCCAATTTTTTATTCCTTCATGTTTTCAGTGGAACATAGAGCTTCACGCTAGAGGCTTGAAGTTGAGGCAGCAGTGGTATTTATTTTCTACAGGATAGAGTCGCTAGCCTCATGCCCAACCTTCCTTTTCCCTTTACCAGTCTTATTAGTGCCTTGGCGAGGAAATGGGGTGCGTCCACAAGGGATCAAACACCGGATCACATGGGGCGTGGTTGGCGAGCCACCAACGCACTAACTCATCCTTTGGCCTTATTCATTTATCGTCTTGCTTATTTCATTTTGTTTGACTCCCGCCCCCGACTTATCATCAATATTATCATTACTATGTTGATTGTTACTATTATGTTATGTTTATTCTTACCATAATTATAACTACATTTCCCATTTTGACTTGTTCTGGTACTTTCTTACTTGTCAATATTGCCTTATTATAATTCTCAACTTGTTGTGTGACAAAACACACGACCAATCATTTTTCCCAAGGGTTGAAGACAGTTTATTGTGTATTTGTAAAGCCTGCTGAGAAATTACAGCGAAAATTCGTATATGCCTAAATTCTGCTGTGTAATTTTTTGAGACGAGAATTCGATTGCAGAGTATAATTATAAGTTCATGAAACATGTCCATTCCATTCCTTCCATCCACCTTCATCGTATCATTGCTAATGAACTTTTAGTGTGAAAACAGTTTGGTGAACATTTTCAATACCAGCACAACCCCGCCTGCCCCCCTTGGTGCTTTCAGTGATCGCGATGAAATCTACAATGAAATATATATTTAGATCCCTAGGAAATCGCATAATGTAAATATCAATCTCCAGCTAACTGATAACTTCTTGTTAGATGTCCTCAAATTGTACTGAGGTATTTTACGACCTGTGGGGTCGACTGTGCCAAGATGGTGTTTCCACTGATTGTAGGCATTAGTCAGGGGAATAGCTATACACCACGAATTGACAAAGTAAGAAATATTAGGAAAGATAATAATGCCAATTCATGAGTTTATAGTCCGTACTGAAGGCCACGGCAGTAATAGTCGCCGGACTTGCTTCTTTTCCGCACAAAGCACTGGTTGTTTCACGCGAACTGCGATACCCTCTGCTGTTTGGAGCACGTGGTACTTAGATGTTTTTAGCAATTTATTTGGCACCCGATAGATGGTAGAGAAGGAATCTCCAATGCTGGCTGGCTTTGTGGCTGGTTTGGACCAGATGGTCTAATATCGAACTGTTGATGGTTTTCATTACACCTTTACTTAGCCCTACTGGGAGATGTTCTGGAGCACGAAAAATCAGGTTTGGAGAGCAACGGCCGAAATCAATCGCTCCACAAGTGCAGTTGAATCGGTAGATACAATTGGAAGTGGCTAGTCTACATACTTTATCTTTCAGTCGACGAATCACCATCGGTCGTGTGGAGAATAAGACGTGTAGTTCACCAGCATTAAAAGTTCTTTGAACTGATTTTCTTAATTTCATCAATGCTAAATTTCCTCAAACTGTTAAAATTGAACGTGGTTTCGACTTTATCGAAGCAGAAATGTAACTTCTATAATCATCGTATCTTCAACGCACGTTGTCTACAGACTGAAATCAGTCAAAAGTCTCGGTGAGTGAAACTTCGTCAATATTCGCAAACATCCGTACTCTTCTCAAAACACATCCCTAAAATCTGCTTTTCAGAGAACGATAACATGACTTCAACATCAAGCCTGAATCTTCTCGATCGAGCGAGTGAGAATTTCAAATGTAGGTGACCGCTTAATAATACTTGTTACAAGTTTTGTATACGAAACCTTTCAAAATGTTTTGAATGAAAGAGAATCCCATTTCCCTAATGTCACCAAAAGGAGAGAAATACCGAATTTCATGAAACTGGAATGAAGGAAATAACAGAAGTAAATCTGAATTAATGATTTGAGGAAGATTATAACCATACACATCATGTCAGACAAGACACTGACCGAAAAACAAAATTTCATTACTTCAGAGATATTTGAATTTCAGTATTGCTAAAAATCTAGTACCTGTCGGGAAAATAGCACCTATGATCATACTTGCTCTACAATAATTCACCAGTAAAGAACCAGGATCCATTCGCCAAAAAAAGGTATCATGACACAACGAAAGATTCCATCATTTCTCACTAAACAGGAATATGAGGCGCTAAGTATTGTGAAAAATGTGAAAAGCATCTTTATAACTAAAGGTGATGAAAGAAACGTCACTGTGATAATGAACATGATTGGTTAGGAATCGAAGACGTCTGAATACCTATCCGACAGTCCATACTTAGGCTGAAGAAAAGAAGAAATCTGGCGAATTCAACAAAATGAAATTAAATACCAACCGAATCCTTCAACAAATGAAATCCAAAATTGGAAATTCTCTCCGCTGTAAACTGAAGCCAAAACCTTACATACCTGCAAGATTCTACAGACAACAAAGTTACATAATCCTTCAGTTCCAATGACAGCATTTGTACATTTTACCAACGCACCGTTATGCAACCTCTTCAAATACTTATTTTCGATACTACATCCACTGGAAAAGAACACTCAAAATATTGTGAAAGATTCATATGATTGCAAAGCTCAAATAGAACACCGAGAAATTGATAAAGAAGATTTTACGGAAAGCTGTGATAATTACTCATGCAATGCATCATTTCATTTCCAGTTTTCCGGAATCAGGCACAACCCTATCACACAGATCTCCAATGGACACCACTGAAATAATTCAGAGCTTCAAATTCTGTCTAGAATGTAATTATTCTACATTTAAAGGGAATTTATTTAGACAGACAAATGATGTTGCTATGGATTCACGAGTTTCCCCGATAGCTCCTGATCTTTTCATCAGCAGATTCGAAAGTAACATCTTTTCAAGCACACTCACCCCTAAAATATGTCTAAGATATGCAGATGATACTTTCGTAGTGCTAAAACGAGATGTACACAGCTCATTCCTGGAGAAAATAAACAATCCATCTCCCAGAAACCAGTTTACTTGAGAAGCAGAATCAGACGTCTGTGAACCAGCATTTCTAGTCTGCCTGGCTAGTTGAGAGGAGGGAAAACGGACACTATTGTATATCCATATTCAGGAAGAAAACCCACTGTAACAAACATTCAGACTTCATACAACCAACCCTCCCACACTCAGTGGAAATGTGTCAGTATCTTAGACGAGCACAGTCCCCAATAAGCGATGAGAAAGAAAAAGAAGAAGTAATATGAAACATTACTGAGACTCTCAAGCAAAACAACTACCCAAGGACTTCATCAACAAAATCAACACTGACATTAGATTGTGTCAAAAACGTATTCCGGACAACATGGGCCTCATCTGTTGTCATTCCACATAGATCAGACACGTCAGAGGTTATCAGAAGAGTACTCAATACGCTCGACATCAGAGTTTTCTGCAATACATTCGACAAACTGCAAAGCAACCATGTCCATATAAACGACCGAATCCCTAAGGATTCTCTGTATAATTGTGTCTATACAATCGAATGCTTGGAATATGATGCGAAATATATTGAATGAACATCGCAAGAAATCAAAATCAGAAGAAATATACACTGTGGAGTGAGTGTCTGTTCGACCACCGAGAAATCCAGTTAGTGAACTAGAAAAGCTGTAGAATCAGGCCACAAAATTGATTTTGACAATATTGAAATCATCATCCAGGAAAAGTTCAGAAATCACCAAGTATGTCTGATATCAGAAGCACTTCATATCAAATGGAATCCAAATTATCTGAATAGGAATGATGAAATGAAACAGAATTTGACCCTGTAACAGCACTCACGCAGTGCCTCAGTAAATAACAAAATCAACACGGATGTGACAAGCAATTTCATTATGTAAACACACGCTGCTTTTATGATTTTTATACACTTATCAAATCCAACAATCTACACCTGGTTTTGTTATCTTCGCCAACTGACCAACTTGACAAGGCGAAAATGACCCGATGCTGAGGAAGGATGATTAAGTTGTTGTATAATTTCAGCTGAGATTTTGTAAATTCGGGTTTGATAATACTACTGCCTTGATAAAGCTGTTAGCAGCAGCATTAAATTACGAGACGTTATCGAAAACGTGAATATCGCTTTGTTTTTCATTCATTGGGAAATACAAAAATACTTTTATTTCAGTGAATATCATATACCCAATAACCAAATTGCTTCACACTGTTAAACGTGAACTTGGCTTACACATATATAACTAAATAATTAAATTCACAAAATAATGGTGTAACGTAGATTTCGAATTTGACAAAATATAATTGGGCATTGAAATCGTTGTACAAATTCAGGCTAAATAGTGGCACAGTTACATTTTACACAAATGTGTTTTAATAAACTTATGCAACGAAAGTATTTCAACGACAGTTAGACATGTTATGGCTGTTCTGATTCTTCTGCATTTTTCTGATGTTCATCTACACTACCTTGTGAGGATGCTGATGAATATAATGATGCTGTGGGAGATCGTGATGACAGTGTTGATCTTGATGATGATTCGGTTGATTTTGATGTTATTGTTGATGATGGCGATAATGTCTGTTTAAAACCGTTAGTCTTGTTTTTTCCATTCGGTAGAAAACGGAGTAATCCATAACTGAATAGAGTGAATATACCAGTTAAACCCCATGAGATTGAATACACAAGGTATCGGTAACCAGCTGAAATTTTGTCTAATTGTGGATAAGGACTGAAACTGTATACTGTGATGGAAACCTCCATGCTATAGAGAAAAAAAATAATATTTAAAAATGTATAGTACAAGACAGCACACAGATGATGGAAACAGACAACTAAGTGAAGAAAATATTCCTTTATTACTCAAGTGTTGGTCTGCACGGATTTGACTGGTTTGCAGATTTCATCTTGAATCGACTTCGGTGAGATAAGCATTGGAAAACCTGAGAATACTTTTCAGCTGTTTCATCTTTCTGTTGGACTATTCAGTAATACTCAGGCACCCAATGGAGCTGGAAGTCGAGGCTTTTCAAGTAACAAGTCAACTTCTTGCACAACTAATCAACTGTCACCCGATCCAATGGCCAGCACATGAATTCCAACTTCTGTCAATTCACGACATTCTCCTGTAGCTGTATGACTATGACTACTTGAATATCAGACAGTCGGAGGCAACTTCAGCAGGTGGTGGACTTCGAGTGAGGGTCTGGTGCTTATTCAGCAATGTGTATATGCAACCTTGAGTGTGATGACGGCCAGCCCTACCTCCTCAAACATGCTGAGATTTGGCCTGGTGTCACTCACCTTCATACGCACAAATGCAATGAACTATTTAGGCAGTGGAGCCTTCGAATTACCTTCCATGGGTTCGCCAGTCAATATGTGCGTTGTTTGAACTTATTATGTACTGAGCGTTTATATGAAGCGCAATATTGTAGGCGAGTGAATATCTGCAATTTCAAGAAACGTAACTCACAAGATATTATAGCTCAGCAGTGGGATGAAGGCGACTATGAGGGAGATTAATAAACGCGTAGACTGTGGTCTCCATGCGAATAAGTCGATCAGGATGAGTAATGCTCCAAATGACGACTTGTAAAAGAAAAAGAAAAGGAGATAAAATACTTTATACCTAGACACGAAATTGGTTCATTGTGTCGGGAATATCACTCAGAAATTTATCAATTGATTTCACTTGAGATAGCTGAGTACTTATCCGAGCTGACTTGTCTCTGATTCTCATTCTCCCAGCTATCATCATCATTATCAGCAACAACCGAATATGTCTACATACTGTGAGAATATTCTACTTGACACTTCTGAGTGAACGTCGTTCAATTACTAGTGAATTAGTTCAGTGACATTGTGGAGTGAGTTGTGGAGGAGATTTATCAGTAGTATGTATTTAGACGCAGATTGATAGGAATTAGTCAAAATCGGACATGACATATTAAGTCAGCGGCTACAGAAGTTTTACCCTTCAGAGAATCGACATCCAATCAGGACAGCCAATTATCCCGTGAACTAGTCAAACTTATATATGTATACATAACTGAAAAAGGTGTACTTTATGGTGTACTTTACCACCATACAGATGTTCGTTACCAAAGTGCTTGTCTTCTCCACTTACAGCATTACCACTAACCCAACAGACTTACGAGCAGTTCGTTGGTGGAAATTGATTCATGTACGCAAATGAGTTATTGACGGGTGGCCTACTGATACAGGCTTCCGTTCTACACTATTTAAGTGGCAAGAAGAAGTTCTGTTATGCTGCCATAAGAACAAGAATCACTTGCTAGGGATGTTGATACTATGTTTAAACTATTAAACGTGATTTTTAAATCCTTACGATAGTTGTTCAAGAATATTCTATGTGCATCTGGAGGTGTGTGTGGTGGTGTGGGAGGGGGGAGCATAGTTTCAACTCATTAGAAAATCACGTAGTAGTAGCTGACTTCTTTTTGCACGACCTCGGAAATTAAACGGTAACAATTTAAGGACAAGTCAAATACGGCCTTTCCAAATTTTCATTTTTATGCTTGTGTCCATATTAAAATCTTACTACTGGTTATGGAATGCTACAAGGCATGTGTGGATATGTAACTCTCGGGTTTGACCTATTCCAACACCTCACCCAGACTTCTCGAGAGCGGGAGAGATTGCAGAGCTGGTTTACTGGGTGTCTGAGTGAAATATATTACAATTAATACGACTTTTACAAACAATCAAAAATCTTCAGGTGGGTGACAATGAAATCATGGTGTCGATGTACACGTCAATTTGTTCAAAACACACAAAAGAAATAAGGCGACGACGACTACTCTGCATTGATGAACACACGAATCGCAATGTTCGACATGGATGGAACTGGTAGAGTTGCTTCTTACAAAATGTGTCCAGTTCCATAATCAGATTTATGTCGAGATGAAAGGAACACTGATGGGATCGCCGATATCAGGATTAATAGCTGAAGCCGTTGTACGAAGTATATAATTATTAGCACTACCCATATATAAACCAAAATGCAAAGAACCTTATCTCGATGATACATTCGTATTAAATTAAAGAACTGACTTAGAATATACCCACAAATTAATCACCGCCATATCTACAGGCATTCAATTCAGCAGAGAAGGAGGATCAGACAACAAATTCCATTCGAAAATGTCTTAGTCAAGAGAACTAACACACACACACACAAGACATTTAGAAACACGAGTATGCAGGATATGAAGACATAGATCAAATCCTCAACTGTAATATGAATAATACAATGAGTCACAGAAGGAACCCTGTGCAAATATCGTTTAAAACAGTTGAAACACTGTGACACTGCAGTGTTGAAGAGAACAGAAGAGAAATGCCAACAAACTGTCTTCAAGAAGAATCCATACGCATGCAATTTCATCAGAAAATGTTTCAGCTGAAGTTGAAATAGCACGAATAAACTATCCTGAAAGACCACAGGAAAATTCATTCTACCGAACACATGAAGAATATCTCTGAAATAACAGCTAGAATAATGAGATTATTTGTAACAGACAATTCTCAAGCAAACACAATCGCTTGGTTCAATATTCTGAAGATTGAAGTATCTAACAGCAAATGTGGGGAAGATCACAACATCAATCGCAAAATAAACTGCATAAAGTGCAGTAAACACCATTTTGGTTAAATTTGGTTTCCCTCCAAATCAGAATTCAAGAGCGCAAATTAGCTGGGAAAATGGACGACTTGCACCTCTTCATATCGACGCATGTAGATAATTCCCTGCACTAATTTGTTTGGCCGATTGTAGAAAATTTGAATAGAGGAAACAATGGGAATATAATCAAGGAATTTCTGGAAGCCTGGTACTCAGATGAATCACCGATTATTAAACACACGCAACACTATTATAGATCCTATATCCCAACTAATAATAAACAATAAGCCACATGACAAGAAAGTTCAAATTCCAAGTTAATTAAAGCAGTTCAATAGATACATAAATAAACAACAAATCAGAGAAGAGGAGGTTGTCAAGATGACTGATACAAATTTATCACTCATAGAGAATTCAGACAAGTTCACTGTGTATTAAAGCTTGCAAATCTTTCGCATTAAGATATTAGTAATGCTTATACGTTTCTATTGATTATGGCACGAAAATGTTGAGTATGATAGATGAAAACTGCTGTGAATAGTTGCCTTCACTTTTCTAAAGACTATTCCTTGAAAGGTAGTGAGCAGACCTGAAGTTAGCTAAGCAATTAGTGCAGTGAAAAAGATGAAAGAGAGTGGGGCTGCTAAAACCCTCTCTCTGTTTCACCCAGAGCGACAAGCAAATAATAACAATTATAGTAACCAGTGAGTCGTTGAAATAGGGAGTTAGATAAGTTATGCATACGTATATATATATATATCGACAAAAGATAGACTTACACAGATTTGCATATACCACAATGGCAGATTCTTCAGCTCTTCAATTCCAGTAATCACATGTCTGTAGGCTAGAAATGTTATCCAGTAGACTGCGGCATTCGTCTATTTCAAAATGAAATCAGCAGTAAGACAAATAACAACAAGTGATAACTACTCACCCAGGTGCATGCAAAGATACTTGTATAAAGATATTTATGAATAGTGAGCAGTTTGAGTGCTTGTAGTGGTGTGGCGATCACGAAGTACACGAATAGGATAGCCTGGAAATTAGAAAGAATAGAAGAGATGCTACGCCTGCTTACCAGTGTGACGAAATTGAGATATCTAAATAACTTTAAGACTTTATTCACATCAATTGACTGTTCAGGATAGAGGTATTTGTAACTGAGGAAGAAAGCGGCAATAATCACTCCCACAGCGCAGAGACGATAGATTACTGGGATAGCATAGCTTAAGAGTCGTTTGGGGACCATTCTGTTGATTCACTGGAGATTGTGTTCACACAATGGTCTTTATTGTATTATACTTGGTAGTCTTACTTGCACGTATATATATACGTCTTACGTAATGACTCACTCAACCGACAAAATTGGTCATTATCAGCTAACAAATAGCAAAATATTATTAAAGAATTATTTCTAATGCACAAGATGAATGTAAAAAGTAAGCAGTATTGACTGGCTGATGCACTGTAGCAGAGAAATTGTGGAATTTCTACTAATTAATTCTGCTTACTGCTAGCGACATTCATGAATACGTGACCATCTTTAAATTCAACTCAGTTAGAACAAAAATGGTGAGACTCAAAAGCGTCATATGACCATTTACATATCTATCTATATATCCGCCTTAATGAACCTGAATAAAGCGAGAACAACAGTGGTTTGTGCAGAATAGTATGTTACCATCACTGTTACTTCACTGGCTTCTCATCAGCTGCTTACAGCTCAAATAAAGTATTATTAAGTTTATGTACAGAAAAGCTTTAACATGCAAACTCTGTTGGATTTCAGTTTACGGGATGAATTAGTGAACAGTGCTCAGCAAGTTACGCTTACATAGCTTTTACACAGGCAGTTAATCTTTAAACAAAGTAAATGTTTTATCCATACAAAGATAAAGCAGTTACTTAATAAAGAGGAGAGTTGCGTAAGATGATGAGTGACTTCAACTTAAATCATAGAAACAAGAGACAAGCAAAATTACTTTATATCGACGGGGTTAGGTTAAAGCTAAAGATTACTGAATCGAATGAAAGAGAGAATGAAGACACTCTGTTACCAGGCAGGGGAAGGAAACACTGACTCATACCTGCTTCCTTCTGAACACTTAAATTGGGTTTCAATTACTTCGGCGAACTTGAGGCAAATCGATTGATAATTTTAAAGGATTTCGCGATTTCCACCTCATGACCTATATCAAGGAGATGCCTGGCGATGGCACTAATATAAGCTATTTTCCCTTTGAGACATAGACTTTTCGGCACATGTTCAGAAAATCGGAGGTAAGCTTTCTTATTTCTGTTCCTCCAGTGTAACTGCTCCCGCAGATACACATAAATTTTTATATACATTTTGGAGTTAACATGAGAAGGGTGTCTGTTGATTTTGACTTAACCAAACAGTATATGGTCCGTTAGACGAGAACCAACTTAGCCGCATGATAAGCACAGACTAGTGACATACTCGGTCTTCTGTTGACCATTGCTGCAATAGTTTCATCTTTCAGATCAAATTGAATGAAAACAGGCTTCACATCTTCCATATTCGTCAATGAACATTTGAAGATAACCGTCGTTCTTTCAACATTTATCTATCTATCTATCGCGAATCTACCTATGTTTATATGTATGTATTTATCTTCCTGTCTATGTATATGAGTGATAATTTAATAATTCCCATTGTAGCATTAAGAACACAATATTCGGTGAAAGACTCTTCTCAATGAATTTATTATGAAGCCGTACAATCGTATATGTATGGTTTTTTTTAAAAATTATATCCGGTGAGGAAATTAGATCAAAGGCGTGAATACATGAAATAATAATAGAAGTATGAAATACAATTAAAATATTTGTCTTGATTTCACTCCCTATGATAGGTTTGATTGAATCTTGTATATTACTTTGAAGGACTTTTCGAAAGGCGCTGAATGTTCTGAGTTGACCAGATATTCTATCACTGAACTGTACGCACTTTTTTGGTCTCCTTTTACTAGCCAGGCTGGGTAGTGTTCACGAGCGCGTTTTCCAAGTCCGCGCATGGTACGGTCGATGTACTCAGCTCCACAAGAGCAAGTAAACTGGTATTTGCACGTTGAGGTGGCTCAATGCGACGGCTTGTCTTTAGCGTTCTGGTTGAACAGTTTCTTGCAGGAAAACGTCAGTCGTAGGCTCGTGGCGAAGTATGTTTTCCTAAGAGATTTGCAGAGGCGTTTGCGAAGGATTTCTGCTTCAATATCACCTTTGAATTTTAGATTAAGCAGAAGTATTTTCTTTGGAACGGATTATACTTGTTCGGAAGTCTTCTTAGATTTGAGATTCTTGTCTATGAGCCTGGGTGGGAAACCGTTTTCCATCAGGGTTTTTCCGAGATTACGCAGTTCTTCTTCAATCACTACCTCGCTGCATATCTTCCGAATTCTCGAGAAAAGAGCGTATATCAGGTTTCTCTTTCTGCTTAGGGGCACGAAGCTTTGAAAGTTGATGAATTGTCCATTCCATGTAGACTTTTTGTATATGGACATTTTCAAAGAGTTGTTGTCGTTTCTCGTCGGATGGAGTCGAGGAAGTGGAACATTCCGTCGGATTCAGTCTCAAGTGTAAAGTCGATGTTTGGGTGGGCGTTGTTGAAGATTTGAAGTGAGTTTTCAAGGTCTAGCTTCTCATCACAAATGATGAAAGTATCATCAATGTATCTCTTATAGAGATGGAGGTCGTCGATAGTTGATGATAAGGGGTTGTTTTCGAGGCTGGCCATAAAACAGTCGGCTAGGAGTGGTCCGAGTGCAGAGCCCATTGCTACGCCATCTGTTTGCCTGTAGATTTCACTGTTGAATCTGAAGTAGACGTTGAAGGTGCAACGTAGTAACAGCTCCTTTAGATGATGGATCGGTATGCCGACATCTATGCTGTTGCATTGGATGAAGTCACACAGAAAGCATATAGTTTCTGTCAGTGAAACATTGGTGAACAGAGAGACGACGTCTAGGGAGACCACCTTTTTATTTGCAAGGTTGACATTTTTAATTGAATCCACGAAATCCAATGTGTCGTGTAGGTTGTATCTCGACAGCTTTTCTTTCACTGGACCAAGAATTTCTACCAGCCACTACGCGGTTAGGTGATATGGCGAATTGATCATATCTAATATTGGGCGGATTGGGACAGTCCTTTTTGTGCACTTTGGGTAGTCCATACATTCGTGGCGATGAAGAACCAGATGGGCGAAGTTTTTCATATAGTTCTGTATTGATAATCGATTCATCTTTCATTTCTTTCAATAAGTTGGTTAGTTGGAGCTCCGTCTGTTCAGTTGGATCTTTTTGGATCGTCTGTTTTTGAAATTTGCTGTCATCAGATAGAATTGACCAGAGTTTCTTCACATAGTCTGAGTTGTCAAGTAGAACAATTCCAGAACCTTTGTCTGGTCGAGTTATTATCAGGTTTTCATTTGATTTCAATTCTTTGAGTTGCTTTCGATGTTCTTTTGAAAGCATCATAAACAGGTAAATTTTTAATAATGACCATCCCATCGCCTTTCTTATCTAAACTTCCTGTTTATTCATGTTATTTTAAGTTTTCTTAATCCCTGCCTACCCTACCATATTTTCATATCCACTCTTCCTGTTTATTTCGTCATTTTATTATGTCTACATATTTAATCCCTGATTGCATAAACAATTATTCATCTCGTCAGTTCTTTATCCAAACATTCTGTCTATTTTGTTATTTCTACATTTCTAACCCCCAGTTGCACAATGTCAATCTTCTTAGTTATTATGCTACTTTGTTTGAGATTGATCCGTCCCTCTGTTTATTATGGCATTCTAATTCCTAATTGTAATTTTTATTAAATTGACCCCTAACTGGGAATTATTCTGGAACTTTCCATCCATTTGATATAAATACACGAATGTACAGCCTAGATGATGACTTCTTCGGAAAGAAAATTTTCTTCGTTGCAACTGTCTTTTTATTCCCTATAAAATATTTGTGATTATAATCATAGTTAAATGTCAAGTGTCAAGTGGCAAAACAATTAATGTCATATATAGAATAATACATAAGGTGTATAGATGTTGGAAAGAGGTGTATAATTATAGGATTAGTTGGCGAATATAAAATGCTACATAACATAGTGTGAAATTTCATAAGATACAATTCAATATTGTAAAAAAATATATATTGATTTTGGATTTAGAATGACAAGAGGGACAAGCGGAAACAATTCAAAGTGAGAATAGTAATACTAATACTACAAATAATAATAATCGTAGTAATAAGGGAAAGATACATAGATTAACTAAATAAACAAAATAAATAAATGTCTATCCCTCTATGGCCAAGGCAGAAGTAGGGATTGTACATACTTCTTTTGTACACAAAGGTCTGTCCTAAATTCATGAATGGCCAAGGCCTCCACTGTCTTTATAAATATTTAACAAAGAAAACGCAGCAAGTTAGCATGGATTCGGTAGATGATCTTAAAATCATGGTCAGGGTTAGCAGAGTGACAGGAGTCGATCAGGTGTTCTAGAATAGAGCTTCGCACACACTTCATTTCTCCCTTGTAAAACCATGCTAGAATTTGTGCTCCCTTATCCGTGTCAAAAGCGGCGTTCTCTAGCTATGGCCAATGCACATTGCTTCACAACAGCAGGTCAACTGATAGATGCACATGGAGGCGGCCAGGTGGGGGAGCTTATCTTTTACGGAGATGGAGAAAAATTTGAGCCTGGTGAATGTAATTTGTAATTTTACTTCAGAGAACGTCTTACTAACAGATTTGGTGGAGAAACGATTTTTGAGCATATCTGAAGCTTGATCACCTTTGAATTCCAAGTTCATGAATCAGGTTTTCTTTTGAACTTAGTTGGTGACCAGTTTGGACTGTTTATCTTTCGTATTTTTGTCATTAAATCTGTTCGGGTAACCGTTTTCTGCAAACGTGGCTTTTCGGATGTCAAGTTCTGAGTCAACGCAATCAGAACTACAAATATGTCTTATCCTATATTTGAATGAATGAATTACGTTCCTTTTCCTGAAGATAGGCATATAACTATAAAAAATTAGTTAGTTGGCCGTTCCATGTACGTTTCCGGTGAATGGATGTTGTGAGAGATCCATCATTACGTCTACTAAGGCATACATCAAGGGAACGGAATAATTAGCTCAGATTCCTTTTCTATGGTGAATTGTAAAGAAGGATAGCAGTTGTTGAAAGCACACAAGACATCATCAATAATTACCTTATTATCGCAGACAACTAAAATGTTATCTACGTATCTTTTATAAATGTCGAAATGATCGATGGTTTGACTAAGTTGAGAGTTTTCAAGCTTTGCCATAAAACAACCAGCCAGCAAAGCATCCACTGGTGATCCCATCGCAATGCTATCTCTCTGTCTAAAAATCGCATTATTGAAGGTGAATTG